GTGAGATATCGCCGGAATGAAATTGTGCCAGAAGGCGACAGATGCTGAATTATAGCCTGGATGTGGTGAGCAGTAAAAATTGAAATTATACCGCATGTTTATTCATTAATTCTGATGATTTAGGAGTGGAGTTCTGAAACATCACAGAACAAGTAGATTTTTCGTTTTTTGTTGAACGATGAAAAACCTTCATCACGAGTTATTTTATGGGAAAACAGAGACCCCTTTTACAAAAAAAAATCATCCAGTTACAAAAAATCACTAGCAATTTTCTCCCAATATCACTTGCTCTCGAGTGCATGAATAATAATAAATTACTAGTTTTCGAATAAATCAAATGCTCAAATGAGTCGACCGAGAAAAATTTTCGATAACTTATTGGTGAAAGGCGTTTTAAGCTGTTGCAGAGGTTCGTTTCCTGGGAATTACTCATTAATTATTATTCCGTATTTAATTTCACCCAAAACCAATTAGATTTTTCATATTTTGGCGAATATTACAATGTCTGTATGGAATTATCGCAGGACAAAGTATGAAAGGAGTAAAAATGTCTCTTGACATTAATTATCATTGTGATGTACATTGTTAGAAAATTACTCTTGAAATTTTTAACAACGAATAATTTACATGGAATTTCCACTGATCTTGTTATTAATAAATCAGTCAATTGTCTTGGATATTCAATAAAATTTGATTTTTCAAATTCATACAACAATAAAAATTATTGAAAATCGTGAAAATTCAGGCCACTTCTCTTCTTAATTTTCAATCCTTTGAAAATTCAATTGAATGTAATCCTTAATTTTCGCGATAGATGTGAAAATCCAAATTGTCATTTAAAATTCAATGACCATTCATCGTGAAAAACTTAATTTTATTAAATTTTCAAGATGAATCAGTAATTCGCTGAGCAATTTAGTTTGAAATTGAATTCAAGTTCCGAACATTAAAAATTCAAATGCATCTGTTCCTTAAATTTCAAAAAATTTCTAACAGTGGACAGATAATTAATATCAGTCAGTCCCCGCTGTCAATAATTAGTAAGAATAAGGGAATGGAATTATTACAATTCACTGTTTCACTACTAGATCAATTTCTCACAATCAAAAGAATGAAAGAATTCCCGAAAAGAATTCCCGGTGATTATTTTGTGAATGTTAGGTGTTTTCGATCTGCTGCAGAGGTTCATTCCTTCGAAATTATTCAATGATAATTGTTCCGTATTCAGTACATGTGTCAATGATATAAGAAGAGTGGCTACATTTCCTCGTTATTTTCCGTACAATTATTAAAAAAATTAATACTCACTGATGGTGCCCCCATCCTGGTGCGGGCGCTGCCAGGGCAACAGCCACGATCCCGAAAGCAATGAGCTGAACAAAAACAATGAGAACATAACGATAATTACGGGACAAATTTCGAATACAGAAAGTTGCAGCGGCGCGCTTTGCTGCTCTATTACGTGACAATATGAAGAACGAGATGTACGAAATGTCCTAATTTAGGTATTTTATGTGATGGGTGAAAATGCACGACTTTCTTACGTGACGGGACTCGCAATGCTCCCGTCGAGAATCAAACGAACAAGTTGGCATGCTAATTCAGTTAATTTTATCAATTTTAGTTTCTGCATGAAAGTCTGATGGGAGGGACTCCAGAAATTTTTGAATACAATGGGAAAGCGATTCTTTAAATTACGCTATTAAAATTTTTTTGATGAATGGGTAAGGAATAAAATATTTTTTGAGGATATCGAAATACACTGGCCATTTTTAAATTCAATTTGGAAGAATGTTATCGAGCATTTTACATTTGATTCTCCATTTTCAAAAATAGGAAACATTAAACAAAATAAAAAATCTGATTTTTGAAAGAAAATAAAATGATTTAGAAATTATGAACTTCTTATGAATAAGTTACAGACAATTAATTGTCTGATGCAAAAATAATTTTTTGAAATTGCAACGAACTCCCCGATGTTCACAATTTCACAAAAAAATGCCGAAAGTTCAAACATTTTCCATTAGAGAAATAGAAATTGCAATGACTCGAGTGAAAATTACATTTTTTTATTTAAAAAAAGTTGCGGAATATCATATTGCCCTTTTTACTAGAATTTTGATTCAACAATTGTCTCTATATCTTCCTCTCCGCGTATTTATCCAAAAAAAGAAATGCTGAAAAACTATTCTTCTCAAAAAGTACTTCAATGTCGCCGATTTTCCCCGCTTTTTTCAAATTCATCTCAAAAATTCAATTTCATTCCAAAATTATACGAAAAAAATCTCCGGATCTACAGTACCCGCACGAAATTCAGAAAATTACTGAGATATCCTCAAATCTGAGATCAAATGCCGATAAATCACGGTAGCACTGCACTTGGTATCCGCCAGGAACAACCGACAATTCCCAAAAATAAATTATCAATCGATAAATGAAGAGAGTACTCACGGCAAAGGTGTGAGAGTACATATTTCTTTCTGAGAGAGTCAATATGTCGCGATACTTTTAGCGAATGCTGATACAGTTCTGGTTGTTTAGCGGTCAGCGATGGGTTTATAAAGGTGGGTCTCGACACGAAATGGTTAAACGGGTGGGAGACTAGTGTCCACCACTGGGGATATCTCGTTCAGGGATAGGAGTGCAAATGCACCCACCGCTGATCCCGGTCCCTGTGGATAACTCTTTTTTTTCACCATTGAATTACGTAAAAAGCGCGGAAACGGTGCGTGCATATGTAGTTACGTGGCGGAGGTTTGCGTAGCTCTAAATATTCCACGTGCCTGCGGAAAGGAGGAGTCTCGAGTGGGCATATTCCACTGTTACAGTAGCGATTTTGTAACGTTCATCCCGAAAAATAAATGCCATTTAAATGAGGAGAATATTTGGCGTAAAGTGAGCGTAAACGGACCATTAAAATCGCTCGTGAGTTGTCTTGGATTGACACAACATCGTTTCGATTTCGAGAATGGGTTGACCAATCTTGATTTGCGGATGAGAGGTGACGTTTGCTCATCGATCCCGAAGGGGTGGGCCGGCCTCGTTGGGATGATGAGGCATAGGGAACAAAAATCTGGTGAAAATTACGTTGTTCAGAATTTATTGTTGAAATTTACGGGGCACTTTTTGGAGATTTTTGATAGATTTTAGTTCCACCGAAAATTCAAGGAATTTTGGTAATAAGCATTCAGAATTTCGTTGAAAAATTAAAGAGAACGGTAAATTTTAGTTCAATTATTGCCTGGAAATTAGTTGGGTTCATAGATGATGAATGAGGAATAAAAATTTGGTGGAAATTACACTGTTAAAAATTTTGGGCTGAAATTTTTAGCAATTTTTGTCACATTTCAACGAAATTTTATTAATGTCGAATTTTTAACGAAATTATATTTAACAAAACCATGCATAACATGCATTGAGCAAAAATTTCATTAAAAAATATTAATTGTAAGAGAAAATCGATGGAGACTGTAAATTTCAGTTGAAACTTCATCTTTTTTCCGTCAATCGAATTCAATGTCACACATGTCAAGAATTCCCACTAAAATTTGCCCCTAAATTCTAGTACTAATTTTTCAAAATTTTCATCAAAAGAGCTATCAGTCTAGAAAAAATTACAATAATTGAGTTGGAAATTCACAAACATATTTGGATTTAAACGCCTGTCATTGTATTTTTTTCCACCAAAATACTAATTTCTTGAAATGCAATAGTAGAACTCTACCGATTTCACTCCGCACTCCCAGTTCCTCACCCCACATCCACCATGACTCGGCTAATTCCCATTCATCCACGGTTCAGCTTGATGGGGCATGTCAAGGGTAGAATTCACAAGAACTAAAAATCCCAGTATGAAAAATTTATCTCCGAGCTTTTTCTTTTGTTCCAATGTAGGAAGTGCAGCGGTCAGAATACCCAAACGTTATCCATCATACACGAGTGAAAGTGTTTCGTAATTCCATCGTGTATTCTTTCATATATATCTATATATGATCCCTCCCTCCCCTTCCCCCAGAGGGGGAGCTCACGAGGCGTGTCCGTTTTGCCAGGGCGAAGTTTCCGTACTCATCCTTAGTCTCGTGCACATAAAAGAAGTAATCTTGCGCAACAAGATGACCCAGCTTCGTCCCTTTTAACAATAAATTATCCCAAGTCTTTATTCGTTGTGAAAGTCACGTATGCTTCATTCTCGCAGGTACCAAAAAATTTTATTGAAGAACCGAGCAGATTCGTTGGGAAATTCTGTTCCTATAGAAATTCCTGGGCTCAAATTTTCCAAGTTTTTCTGTCTGATTTTCTTAATGAGAAGAGAAGAAAAATAGAGTGAAATATTGGAAAGTTCCTGTCAAGGAATTCTTACTGAACAATTCACAATAAAAAAAAATTATAAATTTTCATTGATTAATTAGCGAATTCTCTAGAAAATTACATTCATTTAGTTTTTTTTTAAATGGAAATGTTCAATGGAAAATATTAAATATTGTTGTGGAAAAAATCAACAGAATTCGATTTTTCTGCACAATTTTGTCTATTGCCAAATTTTCTATAGAAATACATCGGCTCCAATTTCCCTAATAGTAAAGTTTTTTAAATTTATCTCATAAAAAAAAAAATAGCATGGAAAAACATTGGAAAATTCACGTGGAGGAATTCCCATAGAAATAAAAAAATCGTCTGCTGATTTATAACAGTTCCTCTGATTTTTTCTATAGAATAGTTTCTATCAAATTCGCTAGATTTTTCAATGAAATTTTTTCGTGCGTGCATTCACTTTCGTTGTCCTCTTCTGCATGTATTTTCGAAGAAAATATTCCCAGTTGTCTGCGACAAGAGGAGAAAATAAAAGAACGTGGCCGATGAAAGTGCTCAAAGCTGGAACGAGTCCAATAGCAAGTGTTATCTGATATTTTAATTGTCGGTGCACACGCGTGACCGATTTTTCCTGAAAATATATAATAAAGACTGGGTACCAGAGTCATTGAGTAACAACAACAACACAATTTTCAAGGAGTAATTAAATATTATATTGCGATAAATGCACAGATCAGGGTGAATGCCCTGGACTGTAAATTTCACACAGAATATTATTTTTTGTACAGTTTTTTGTAACGTTTATTTAATAATTAGAGATTAATAATAATATCCACAATGTTAAATGCTCGCGTAGAAAACAGTGAATGTTGAATGGAAGTTATTTCTTCTTTTTGCTCTTCGATAGGGCTTCAGTCTGGGGCTTCTGCCAGTCTAGGGGTGTACGTCTGTACATTGGCCATGGGGGAACGGTTATTATAGCAGCCATTACACAGCCAGCACCGAGAATGTAGAGGGCTTGGGAAAATTCTTGGATAGCATATCCCCAAATCAGTCCTACGAACTGAATAAAAACAAGTCAAATGTTATTCTCGTGAATAAGGGGAGGTGGATATGAAAGGGAATGGGGCACTCACTCCGAAGAGAGTTACAATGATCCTGGACAGTTTTTCAGCCCTCGCTTGACCCTCGTAGTCCTGTGGAAAATAGACAAGGACTGAATGTCGTAAAACTAACGATGAACGTTGTCTAGTTTTTTTGCAGATGTTTCACTCTTCTTTCACTAGTGGGTGAAATGGTCCGATACCAGACGTTATTTAGAACGAGAAAAAGGGCACAAAATTACTGTTGGAAAATTGTTTGGAAATTACTTTAATTGAAAAGGATTATTTCAATTAAAAAATATTTGAATTTCAACTGCAGTTCAATTGCGTAAAATTTACATTTAAGTGTTCTGGAATATTCAGTGAAATTTCAATTTCCAGGTCCATATAATTATTTTTCAAGACGAATAAAAAGTGCCTTTAACGATTACATCTTAAATTCATTTTGAATTGACAAGTCATAATTTAAAAACAGCTGTCACTTGAATTGAAAACATAATTACACTGTAGGAGAAAAACGATTCGTGTATCTGTAAAATTACAGCTAAAGGCCTCCAAAATTACATAAAATACACTAGTTTTTATCGTTCTCTAGCGATTGCTCCTGTTCAACTAGTGCATTCACTGATGCAAAGTGCTTAGTTATTCTAAGGTACAACTTTTTAACCCTTGAACTATATCATCACGAGCCGATGAATTCGATAATTAATAAATGATTAAACGAAATAAAGAACTTTTCGTCGATGACCCAACATTGTTGTTGGAATTGCTATTAGTTACCACAAAAGAAGTTTGTTAAATTTTCATTATTTTTCATTACCATGCGCCATAATTATGATTTCTTCATCTCACAATTCTTAAATTCCTTCTCAATGGCATGAATAAGAGTAAGAAAATCCCCTCTAGGGGTGAATCTTCCATGCATTAGTTATTTCACCCTCTAGCCAAAAAAAAAATATCATTTCGCCAAAAAAATATCCTCAGCAAGCGTTGATCAGCCCTCAGATTTTCTCGTGTGCGTTAATAAACCCATGAAAAAGACTAAATTGAGAAATTTCACAGCTGGCAGTGGCATACGGTAAACACAGTGCTCTAACCTCAAAATAACTCTTCCCCAATGTTCTTTGGGAGAGTTGGATAGCTTAATAACACGTTCCTTACCCTTTTCCCTTAAATATTAACGTAAAAATACCAGAAGTCATATATTAACTTACCATGTGCGTGGGTATAGACTTTATTGACTGAATTAACGATGCCATGATTAAATGTGAACCGGTGACAGCAGTTGCAACAACAGTAACGATGAAACAAAAAAGAGTTGACGTGGTGGTTGTGACTTGATAGGATCTCTCGACGCAGGCGCCGACACCGCCATCTTGAAAATTGTATCGATCACCCGGGAAAATTCTAATGGCAAACTTTCCCCTGGATTTTTCCATGGAAATAATCACGAATGCAATTGCATTAGTATTTGATTAATTCAAATATTTAATCAGTGAAACAATCGGGCGGTCTTTGTCCTGGAGAACAATGGGTGACTCGATTATTTGATTTTTTTAATCATTCGGGGGACGTTTCAGCGTTTAACGATAATACTATGGGTGTCTCAGATCGTATGGACGGAATTTAAATGAGGAAGAAAATTCTGAATTCAGAATTACCCGACGTGCTTGCATTCCGGAGTATGCGCAATCGATGAATATAGCTGAGAGGATAAGAGCTACAAATATAAGAATGAGGATTACGAAAGTTTGTGGAGATCACGCATGAGAATATCTAATTGAGGGCGTAAACATTCACTGGAAAATTCGATTTGCTTTCGACAGAAATTCATTTCGAGTTGTGTAGAAAATTACGTAATTTATTGAACAGTTTTTCAAGTGTTTTTTCGGTCATTTTTTAATGGGAAACGGAACGAAATGGAAAGGGAGAAACTTATTAATCTCACGCGCAAGAATTTCGATAGAAAAATTTTTTCAGAGAGATCTTATTAAAGAACCTAAATTCAATTTTTTCCCTCAAATATTGAATTTCAATGTGAATTCACTGAATAAAGAGATTGAGTTACTAAAATTACTGAATGCAGAAATAGAAAGACGATCATCATGTACGAAGATTATTTATGATCAAATCCTCTTGATAAAAAAATAGAATTTGATGGCGAAGGCACGTAATTCGTTATATATTTTTTCCCCCTTTCCATTTAGTGACGACCGAGTCCTTTCACCTTCACAAAAAACAACATCTTCTTGCACCATCTCAGTCCGCAATGCCGTCAATTTGAATCCGCATCCATTTGTGGTGCAGTCGTTTGAGGGAAATCCTCTATTAAAAAATAGGTGAAACATTTTCGCTCACCACTTTATTTCGCCAAACTCATGCTCGACTTAGAAAAGACTAAAGACTTTTTCTGTCGTAATTCTTAAAAACAAAAAATTATTCATTATTAAATAAATAGATAAAAAAAATTTTAAAAATCATAGTTTTTATAATGAACAGTTATTACTTGTAATATTTTTTATTCAAATAAAAAATTTAGATATTGAATAAAAAGGTAAATAAATCAACAATGATAATGATAATAATGAATGATACTTCGTTTTTTCTTTGAATAAAAAAAGGAGAGCAACATTTTCGAGCACAAATACTTTTAATGACATGAATGACACTCGCAGAATATTTACAAGAGGTTTTTGCAGTGAGAAATAAATAAATTCATTGTTTTAACTTTAAAATGAAGTGAAATATAAGGTGCAACGAGAGAAATGATAAAATTATTCACTGGGAATTACAGTCGACTCATGCAGTTTTCCTCTTGACTATTTTGCATCGGGCATGTGGTTGTCCAATGTGGCGAGGATTGAATTGCGATTGTTGGAATGACACTCTCGTGTCTAGCATAGTTGACCGCATCACTCACAGTTGGAAACATCATGAATGCTTCTGTTGTTCGTTCGGCCGCACTGCACTTTCTCATCGTCTCGAAAACGGGACCTGAAATGTTTCAATAAAAAAAAACCGAAGTAAATATTTAAAATGTGTTGAAATAAGAAGATACCGTTGTACTATGGGGCAAACTCGTTGGTAATTCGCGGAAAAAGTGATCGTAAATTGTCCGGCATGTCTTCCGGTGGCGAAACCTGAAAATCGGGTGCAACTTCCTTGACTGTAATAGCACGTTACCCAATCTCAACATTGAAATATCATCTGTTTTTGATGTCTCAGTCTTTCATTCGGCATTTGAGTTTCCGGTGAGTGTAGCACTTTCCAATGATTGATAAACACCATTGAATCACGGTTAACATTTGATTTATAATGAGTGTATTTATGTGTATTTACCGGAACAGCCTGATAGGTAAACTGATACGTCGATTTTCATGTAATCGTCGATGAGACTTCTGAGTGCGGACACACCGGCTGGGTCTATGTGAACGAGCGCTGAGAAGTCTAGGATAATGACGTTGAGCTGTGGACAGAGAGAACGAGACGAGAAAATTAGTATTTGTGGATTTTCATTGCCATTTAAATAACTTCAAAATGAAGAAAATTATTTTAAAACAAGTGGAAAATTGATATTTCGGATTTAATTCCATTCGAAAACAGAATATTTTCAACAAATCGTGAATTCAGAACAATAATCGCCTGATTTTTAACTATTTTTAATTATTTTTATTGTTGTGAGGACCTGAAAATTGAAATTTCATTGCATATTTAAAAAATTAACCGTTTTGTTAACAATAAAATCTGTGGAAATTGCATGTAAATTAGTCATTGTTCATTGTTAACCTCTTCAATGTTTTCTATTTTCAATTTCAAGGGCATTTTTTAAACAATGAAGCCCATTAAAATCACTGGATCGACGTATCATGTTTCAATCCAGCCAATTACTCACATTCTTTAAATTTTCTGATGCATCTTCTTTGCTCTCCATTTTCAAGATGCGATTCAGTTCCAACTGAGGATTCACTCCAGTGGCTTTGAATACCTCTTTACGAAAATGAAACTTGGAGGCGAAATTCAATCCCCCACAGTAATGGAACATGACAATTCCAGGCAGTTCAACAGTCTAAAATATTTTCCATTTTTTAATCACAAATATAATCTCGATAGTGTAATTTAGTACGAAACATTGAGTTTCACCTTTTCGTATCGATGTGTATCTAAGTAGATTTCAGTTCCGGGTACAAGAGCTAATTTACAAGTGTACGGTTTCATAGAGAGTGCAATGAGCTTGGCAAAACACAGAAGAGCCCCTATCAAAAGTCCATACTCAATATCGAGAATGATAACAGCGAGAAATGTGAGGATCCATACTAGGCCATCAGTCGATGAGAGCCTCCAAAATTTGAAGAGATCTTTCACTTGAAGGAACATGCCCTTGAGTGCCACTACAATTATTCCGGCTAGAACTCCCTGGCAAGAAAAATAAAAGTGAAGCAAAGTGCAGGAGAGACAAATAATTAAATATTTACCTTTGGCAGTGGTTCTAAAAATGGCCCTATCCAGAGTAGAACAAAGAGGAGAAGAAAACACGAAATGAGACTTGCTAATTGTGTCTTTCCACCGACGGCATGTTGCACAAGGGATCTTGATAATGACGCTGTGAAGGGCATGCACGAAAAGAATGAGCCAGCCAAGTTGCCGAGACCCTGTGCCATCAGTTCCTGATTGGCGTCCACCTCGTAATTCATCTTCTGGGCGAATATCAGGGCCATTGACATGGAAATACTGTAGGATACCATTGTTATCACGAAACAATCTACTATGACGTCGGGGAGGAGATCCAGGGGGGGTAGTTGCGGGATAGGAAGCCTGAAATCATGTAACAATTTTCATAATGACAAGGCGTAAGAGAAAAAATTACCAAAGTCTCGAACATTCGCTAGGAAATTCCGTTGAAAACTCTATTCGTTTACGGGCCATTCTATTTCCGGTTTGGCATAAATAGACTGTTCAGAATTTTTGACTGAAATTTCAATGAATTTCAAAATTAAAAATTTCCCAATTATTGAAAAAAAATCAATGAAAATTGCCAATTTCACGGCAATTATTCCGGGAAAATTAATAGATATTGGGAGAATATTCAGGCCTCGATTGAAAATAGGAAATAGTTGAACTGTCGTCGTTCTGCCGTTAAAAATTGAGATTTCATGATTTTCCTTAAAATTACCAAAATTGGAATTCTTCTAGTCTTCTGAACATTTCTATTCTCACATTGTCATCAGTATTTAGTGCATGCTGATGTATTCAAGATAATTTTTTCCAGATTCAAACGCGTAATCGATCTGAATCTCCCAAACCAATTAATTACATAGATAAATGGCAATAAATTCTGTTACCCGACTGGAATGTCGCCCACTATGGACACACTATAAACATCGTGGAGGTTCATTTGGACAGAAACTAGAGTTCCAATTACCACAGCGAGCATTTCTATCGGAATGGGAAAAGAGCAGTGCCTCGAGACTCTCGGCTGCAATGTAAAATTCAAATATGAGAAATGAGGAGTATTTATCACTGACAGAAAGGTCGAATTTCATTAAGAATCTCACCTTGACAACCTCATTATTAAATATGACAGCTATGATAGTTATGGCGGCAATAACCATAGCCGCGATATTAACATCGTCAATGGCATTGAAGACGTCGTAATAAGTCTGCGGATGAAATGTCATTTTAACACAACTTGTTCATGTTTTCATGGAAATATTTTACTATGTGGCATCGTAAAATCACTAATCACGTGGTAAATTAAAATCCGTCAGCGGATAAATCATTTCCGTAATACCAGAGGCGTCCAGTGCTCATTTGGAAATTGAAGAAAGTGAAAATGACGTTATGCGCGTTGATAGTCACCGGCTTGGATCATTAAAAACTTTTACTCGCTCTGAACGACAGACCTGGAGGCTGGTAAAATCCCCCGGAGGGTATTTTTCACGTGCGTTTGTCGCTGAACGAATGCCGGAAAAACAGTCACATGAATGCGTGTCAAACGCAATTCGTTTAATCGTTCAATAGCAGGAAGTTTGGGCTCAAAGCGTGTTTTATTTTGGAGGGTATTGGAGTTTTCTGTAATGGACTTCTGTATTACATGCCCAGAAAAATGTAATACTTTTTCCGTAAGAGAATATTTGATCACTGGAACTGGGTGAAACGTAATACATCATTTAAGGGGATTTAAATGTTTCAATTGCCTTGATGCATTGGGATTTTACTCTTTAATTCGCGAAGAAAAAATGAGGCATTGAAATGAGAAAAATGGGAGAATGAATGCAATACTGTATTTAAGGAGGTCTTTGTACTCAACTTACTTTGGTGCATTAAACATTTTTTTATGAGAGTTATGTAAGTCAAGAAAAGGGGCACTGAAGCTGGTGATGAAAAACCGAATTCTGTATTACCTGGGCAGGAGAATCTCATTATTTTTTTCCGTCAAAGAATATTTGATCGTAGAAATAAGGTGAAATGTAATACCTCATTTAAGGGGATTTAATTGTTTAAATTGCATCGATGCATGTAATTTAACTCTTTAATTCGTAAAGAAGAGATGTATTGAAGAACAAAAATGGAACTTAATTTGCTTTGATGCATCAAGATTCTTTTAATGAGACTCATGTGGCTCGAGAGAAGGTATAATGTAGATGAAGAATGACAGTAGAATTTTGCAAAGAGGACTAACAGAAAATTCAGAATCAAGAAGAAATTATTGTACAAAAAATTGGAACCAAATGTTCCCATCCATTAATCTTAAATATTCTTCTTGAAAATATTTTCCCTCGTGATCAATTTCTATGTTAGAAGGGCATTTCCATAGCAGTCATAACGTTATTTATTAATTCAAATTAAGTTTTATTAACGATTATCAACACATTCCTCAATTTGAAGAAACGAGAAAAATCAAAAAGTCTAGTTAAATCCCGAGCACTTCAATTTTTTTCATTTCATATACGTCTCTTCAAACTTTAAAAAGAGTTCTTTATTAATGAAATAACGTCATGAAGAGAAAAACTCTCACCAAATTTCGTAAATCTCGATCATTTAACCTAATGCTCTTCAAGCATTGAAAAATCAATTGAATGAGTCACAGAATTCGACGACGGGTTTTCCCGTTGGATAATCCATTCACCCCTTCAACCAAAATAATTATTCAACTATTCTCGCCCAATGACGTAATTAAAATGTTGAATAAATACTCACGTAAACCACTTTGAGTATACCACGACGCCTGGGGAGTTGTATACCCAGGAGATCCTTGATTTGCGATGTGAATACGTGAACCGCTGCTGCAGTGGTGAAACCGCTGACCAGGGTCTCTGACAGAAGTGAAGATATCACACCTAGACGCAGCACGTACATTGCCAACTGGGACGAGTGAAGATGAGAGAGGGATTTCATTTTGAGTGCATGTTGAGTGGTTATATCGTGCAAATGGAAATGTAGAGCTAAGTAAATAGATTAATATCTCATACCTGTAATATTGCAACTCCAAATGTCACGACCGTTGCAACTTGTACGGGTGAGTAGTGATGACTATCGGATAATTCGAGATTCGCTTGGGATGTTACATTTGCCTGAATATCTCCCCCGTTACTGTGGGCTAGTACAACTTTTCCGGTCATCATGCAAATAACAGCGAATGTACCTGAGATCAGAGATATTAATGTCTGGTGATGTTATCGGCTGCATGTGATCTTCGTTTATGGCTACTAGAATGCGCAATGGTGGAGCCCGAATGAACGTGGGAAAGGAGAATTTTTTGGCGATTTTGTTTTGGGTTGTTGTGGAATGTGTGCGCGGAGAGAAATATTCAGTAAAAATTACGTATATTTTCCGTAATTTTGGAGCGAAATGTGATTGCAGGAAATTTTACGGAACTGTCACGGAATTTTTTCAGAGCGTTCCGTCATTTTTAACTGAATCTCCTGTGAAATATTACGATACCGTCGCTTGAATTTTCTGAGTCGATTCCGCAATCGGTGAGCGAACTGGGAGTTCCGTAAGTTTTACTGAACATTTCTCGCCGTGTGGAAAGGTGTTTGTACATGTGAAAATATGAAATACTATGTTGGAACAATATTTAAATTTCACGGATAGTCGAGTTGTGATTTTCAGGAGAGTGATGTTGACAGCGAATTAAGGGGGAAATATGAAATTTCAGGTTTCACTGGACATTTAAGGAAATTCAAAATTTTTGAACAGCTTTGAGGTGAGAATTCTGCAACCTACAAGCGATGCTACTGCGAACATCCTGAAGAGGGTCTCAACCGTGTCTTCTTCGAGTGCCCAATGCAATTAATGGAAAAATTGAAGAAATGGAGCGTGTTTCAGTGAATATCAATCTCATTCTGATTTCATTGGACCCCAGGATTCTGACTCTAATGAATGTTTTTTTGTTTTGTAATTGATGGGGAAAATTGTGATTCAATATAACAAAATAAAACTCATGTGTATTCGCTAATAAACCCATCCCAGGGTTTCTAAAGTATTAATAAAAAGATGAAATTATGAATATTCAGTGCCAAATTAAAAATTTTATTCCATTGATATCTTTAAATTTAAATTTATGTCATTAAATTTCAAATTTCCCTGAAAATTCAATGGAATTACAGATTTTTTTGTGAGTAAGAAGTCGAAAATTTTACAACTTCCTTGATTTTTCTCACTAAACACGAATATTTAGAACGGAATTAACAGAAGGCGTGGCAAAATGGGCATTTTTTACATTTTCTTATTTTCTTTCGAAACTCTTCCGAATGCTCAATAGAATGTAGTTTTCAGTTGTCCCCAATGATTTAGCAGCGAAATGTTATTAACGAGGTGAAAATTTATTAATTCAACAATTACTCATCAGAAATCGATTTGCTCAAGCGAAAGAACGATTAAATTCACAACCAACAATCTCAAGAAAATCTCCTTATCTCTTTTTATCGTGTCTTCATTGCAATGATAATGAGATACCTAAATATCGATATCTACTTGAATGAAACATCATAATTACCCATGGAATTATGTCTGGATGTTCCAAAAACCATGTAAACGAGAATGGGAAAAAATGCCATGTATATTCCAACGATAGGTGGTACATTTCCGAGCATCGCGTACGCCATACCTGCGCAAGGGAGTTATTACAGTTGAAGTTATTATTAGTTCATTTGAGAACAATGATAAAACGCTATCGGAAATGATCTTGCTTACCTTGAGGTATGTGCATGACAGCCACCGTGAAACCAGCGGCAACATCTCCAAGAATATTTTCCCTCCAGTCATATGTGGACAACCAATCGCATATTGGAACCGTTTTCTTGAGGTTTCGTTTGAAATTAAAGTCTCTGTATTTTTTTCTCCATCTCTCTTTCACTGTGAGAACATTAATTCGTTACTGTCCTCTCGTTAAAAAATGAGGGCAGTTGACCCAAATTCGCCAAATTGTGTAATTTTGTGAGGAGATGAGGAAAATTTTATTGCAAAAAGTAACGTCTAGAGTTTTTTATGTTTTGTTTGAAAGTTTAGGACATACGGTCAGACAAAAACTGAAATTTGATAGACAGTGGACTAGGAATTTTCTGGGGAGTGACATTTAACGCGATTCAAGGGAGAAAAAATCATGAAATTTCACATTTCACTGACATTTCAATGAAATTTCACATTTTTTAACAGCATTGAGGTGAGAATTGCTCAACCTATTTGAATTCTCTGTGAAATTGTGAATATTTAGTGCCAAATTGAGATGAATTTTCAATTAATTGAAAATTGAAGAATATATTTATGCTCAGGGAATAATTGAACTGAAATTGACAGCTTTCATTATTTTTTTCAAGTAATTCATTCAATTATTATGAAATTTTTCGTCATTTTCAATGACAAAATACCTTGAAATTTCAGTACAACTAAAATATGATGAAAATTTCCAAAAAATGTACCGTAAATCAGCTAAATTTTAAAGTGCGGTAAAACCATTAAATGTTGAGGTCTACTGAAAATTCAATGAAATTCCGAATGTTTGAGCAACAGAAAAACAAGAATTCCTCAACGTTCTTGAACTCTTAATGAAAACACGAATATTCTTTACTAATTTACGCTTGTCAACAAATTCCCACTGAATAATAGATCTAAAATTTACAGTGTCTATTGATATTTCCCGAAAATTTTGAATTTTCGATGACCAAATTCTTCGAGTGCACCAAAAATTTCCCTCAAAAGTTCTTAACACTCCACGATTAAATTTTGAGGATAATTCCACTGAAGAATCCCGGAAGAAACTTTAAAATGTATGTTTTATCACCCTGGTGGTCGACAAAATTACATTTGTTTCGCGGTGGCGTGTAATTACAAACACGATCGAGATCCTCCTGCTGATAAACCGGTCGTCGCACCACGAGCTCCGGACTATTCGTCATCTCATCACCCGCGTCTTCTGGAACGAAGGGATAACCCAATGAATTATCATAAAAAACAGCTCTCATTCCCGTCACACGCCAAATTATCAATACTGACGTAGGCACGTCAAATGACGTGTGCGCACTACCGATAAAAGCATTTAAAAAAATATAGTTTTGTCTGACGTTCCTCTGACCCCAACATCAAACATGAACGAACCATTCATCAACCGCACGACTTCCATTTTCCGAGGATTAACGGAGGATGTAAAATCCGTTGTTCCATACATGCGAAACACATGCGGATGCTGGGAATTCGTTATCTTACCAAGGCCGATGTAGGATTTATCTGTAAGTAAACTGCTTGTCTCCATTTTTGACAAATAGCGTGTCAACACTTGATCCTATGTGACACTGATAAGTGAACAAGTGGCAACTCAAACAAATAAAAAGCCACCAGAAGTGAGCGAGGAGTCACTGTATTTCTAACGAATCAACTGAACTGCTGTAAATCGCTGCTTAACGAGTCGCAGTGTCTCGATTAAATGGCGACAATGAGCGCGAGATATTCCCACAGTTGTGGGTTTTATCTGTCGATGAGTACAACAACATTTATGTATGTGTCGAATCACGAGACGCGGTCTGATAGCACATCAATTACGCGGGGCTCAGCTATTAAAACCCGCTGGCTACTGAGAGATTACGGTTATCAAACGGCGGGTTGTTGATACTTTGCGATCATCTGAGGACCGGAAACTTCTGTAAATCTACACCTGGAGAAATGGTTCGTTTGAATTAAATGAACTGTCAAAAAAATTGAACTCTCCTTCTTGTTTTCAGTTTCATTCAGGAGATGAATTGTCGTGGGAGTATAAACGGATGTTTACTTTATCCAGATGAGGACTTGATTAGTTAAAATTGGAATCGTTATTTAGATAGCGGGGAGCTTATTGTAGAAGATTCATTTGGAGTGAAGTATTCATTTCATGTACTCTGTTGGAGAACGTTGAGGAGAGTGACATTTAAGCTGGTTTGGGGACAGAAAAATAATTAAATTGCAGATTTCAACGAAAATTCAATGGAATTTCAAAATTTTTGAACAACATTTTTTAATAAAAACATGTCACTCCGTAATAATTTTCATAATGATTAAAGATAACAATTTCAAGAATGTGTTCACCATTTTGTGGATTTCTATTAATTTTTCTGGAATAATTGACCTAAACTTGACATTTTTCATTGATTTTTCCATAAAACATCTTGAAATTTCAGTCAAGAATTTTTTTAACTGCTGTTAAGCCATCTTACATTCAAATGAATACATAAATGCACTGAGCTGGGTGCATTAAAACGACAGATGAAAACAGCCAAGTGGAATTATTGATCCACCAACAGCTGGAAAAATACTATCACAGTATTCTTAAAAATAATTGAGGCCAGAGATAATAGTTATTCACTCTTGACGAAGAGACGGATAATCTCATTTCATCAATTGTTTGTTCATCCTCCGAGTTGTTGGCTCAGTGATTAATGAATAATGTTATCAAGCTTACTTGAATATTGTGATTGATCGCAGGTGTCCCAATGGAGATCAGTCAGCCTGAAGAAACACTGTACAACTGATTGAGTTATTTCGCTGAAAGAACGTAAAATCCCAGCGATTTCACTGATCTTGAAATAAATCACAAGAGAATTGCGTAAATTTTTAACTGTTTTGTCTCTAAGTAGTAGATTTAACGATCACCATTCTCCTGGTGTTGAGTTCATTTGCCGGTTGAACACTGGTTTTTATCGTTAACAGACCAACATTTCCACTGACACTCTGGGTTTTCTTATCAATGGAGAACATCCCGAGACACTATCGGCGACACCAGAGGTGTATTCATGGTTTTACGGGACAACATCATAAATGAAATAAGAGGATAGATAAAAAGTGACATTCAAGGCTCACTGTGGAAACTTTCAAATCAATAACGATAAATCAATTAACATGGGCTATGAGTGCTGCACTGTCATTGACTCGTTGCAGTGACTGGGGACAAATTGAGAAGGCCTTTCACGCATCGACTGTCTAAACAATCAATTCCAATTGAGTCTGTGTGAAAAATCAATGAAATGTCACGTTTTGGATGAGAAAATACAGAATTCAAGTGTTTACATGGTTAACCACACTTGATGGATATGAAAACTCGGCTTCATTCGTTGATGAATGAGGGAAGAATTGTCTCGTCTTTGCTTGACCGAGGTATATTCAATCATTTAAAATTCAACGGAATACCAAACTCTTTGGCGGCGGGAGTGCGAAAATTACACAATTTACTTGAATTTGCAATCGAAACATGAATACTCGGTATTAAATTATTAGTCAATTGGAAATTCAAGGATATATTCATATAATTGAGTTCAAATTGACGGTTTTCGTGGATTTTTTCATCAAATTGTGAACTTTTAATGACGACATTCCTTGAAATTTCAGGGGAATTGGCAAATGGAAATGTTTGACAGTTCAGAAAAATTATTCATCCTGCGCACCAATTATTTCCCAACTTGCTCATGATTTTGAAGCTCTTGGTGTATTATAAGAGAATAACTTGCAGATATGGACAGAATATTAAAGTATTCTAATCGCCACGCACTAACGAGTTTTTGTTGATAGAAGTGCTGCCGTGTCCAGCTGTTTCGTAACCGTGACCATGGCGGTATAATCAGTCTCCATTAAGAAACAACTGCAATAACCAGGCATCTGTATCAATTGATACATTTGAATTTGCAGTATTAATTTAAATTCAATTCCAACTCAAATCGTTCACGGAATCCCCTATTCAGTTCGGAGCCTCAAGAAAATTGGGTTTTCCATGTTACATGTCATTGATATTTCCATGGCATCCTTTGGGACATCCTTTCCCAACCATTCCAGATCTTTTGTCGTGTTGAAACAATTTAGTCGAAGACAATGAAGAAAGTTTCCATCAAAACATGATAATTTCCGTGACAATCACTATTCTCGTAAGAAGTTTGTTGTTCTGGGTAAATAGAGTAGTTTGACAGAGAATTATGTGAGTCGCCGGTTATATCAAGTGCATGTTATTGAGTAGTACATGTACTGTTCTCGAAAGTACTTATAATTCGACCGGTACAAACGACAATTTCAGGAGAAATCTTAACTTTTCTCCCCGAAAACTGCGATATTCACAAAATGAATAAATTCACGAGAAATCATTTTTTTCGGGGAAAATAATATTCCTTTCTAGCCAATGGGTTCTATCTGCGGTACAATTATTTGAGATTCTCCACATTAAATGACTGCAGTACAGCAAACTAGAAATTGATAAACTAATGGTCACGACAAAAATTCAATTTTTACGCTGATAGACTGATTCATTTATTTCAAACGCGATTCGTTAACTATTAACTAATGGTAGAGTTGAATATGACCAAATGAGTATTCGTTAATAGTCAAAAAAGGGTTCACTTGAAATTATATATCTTTCTATGAATATTTATAACATTATTTTAAGAAGAAGTTGGAGTTCAAAAGGCTCGTGAAGATGCAAAACAAAGAAAACTTTTGTAACATCAATGAAATAAATGAAAAAGAATTGAAAAAATTGGTTCACTTGAAAAGGGAAAATCGAGTCAAGCAAGGCTCCTCAAATGAGTATTTGTTAACTATTAACGAATGAACATTTGGTGAGACCAGTGGACCTCGTCTCCAATCAAATCCGTTCATTAACAATAACTAATCCTAATCCTTTTTATCAGCGTATGAAAGATGTTGAATTTCCTCTCATCAAGGAACACATAATTTTCCGGCAGAACGAATTTTTTCTCCTTTTGCATGTAAATGATGACTTTGAGAGGAGAATGGTTTAATTGCGATTGTGGATGCGCCTGTGACAGAGTCACGGCCGCTGTTTGCAATTCAGTCAGCGTTTGCGCTGTTTTATCAACGGATGACGATCTTGGCACGTTTGTGGATGCACAAGGAGGCTCGACACTTGCATATTTTTGGAGGCCACAAATTCAAGGCTTTAAGGCAGATGCATCGAACGCCCTAGGAAATATCGAATGCTCGGACGATATTTTTGGCACAACTATGGGAATTGTCTGACCTTCATCCGCCGTTACTACTAGGCCGTTGGAAATTCATTGGGTATTTAGGTTGTGCGTATTTATTTTTTTATGGTGATGCGTGCGATGGTTGACAGCAGTTGAGCCATCGGTGATGCCACCAATCGTTAATGGGATTTAGTTGAGTCTACGTCGGATTAATTATTCGGACATTGCTGGGAGGTCAGTCCTCGCTGGGATACAAACCAATGCTTTCGGTGTCTGATTTGGGCGGTTTGACACTCAAGATCAATCATTAGATCCGCATAGAGTTGGATTGCCATCACAATTACACGAGAATTAGTGCAAACATTTTTTCAGATGAACAGGTGCATCTTAATTCATGTTTGAAATTCACACAAATTTTCGTTTTATTCAGACGTTTATTAGTGTCTGAAAAATGTCTACAAAAAGTGTGTGAAATTCGGACGATCGTTTTAGCTGTGTTCGGTCTCACCAAATGTTCATTCATTAATAGTTAACGAATCTCGTTTGGAATAAGTGAATCAGTCTATCAGTGGATGAGATTCGATATCTGCAGGAATTTCCGAGACTTATATTTCGATATACAGCAGTCGGTCGTGAAGGCCGAATCCCCAGTGACATTCCGGTCTTCCAGTGCCAATCGAAGCAGAGGTCGACCTAGAAAATTCCCCATCTCATTATTCCCTGATGAGGACACAGTAAATGCATCAAAACTATATATCCAACGCGGAAAGTTACTGCAGCAGTTCCAAAATTTCTGTGTGATCGTGATGGTAGAGGGCAGATGGACGATCCACTCGTACTGATTACCCGACGGAGTAAACCCAGAAAATTTTATATCGCAATCTATAATTCTATGATTTCAGTGGCTGGGGTTTCTCAGAAGTTTCATATACCCTCTGATCCCCAAGAAGAACGGGATAATCAATGCAAATGGCTCCTGCACTATGTCCGAGCGGAGGAATGCTATCGGGCTTGACTATATTCGTTTTAATCCACTTCAGAGCTAGTCGCTGATCCCTCAATCCGGCATTACCCGTCGCATTTGTCATGTTTAGCGCCAAAGAACCGAAAACTCGCAGTCGATAGTTCATCACTGCCATCACTACCCCACTTTCGATCAATAAATTTCGACTGGACAGGATTTTGTTGGTGTAACCACTTTTAAAGCTCCAGTCGTGAATCCCCTACTGTGACAGACAGGGGTCGACCTTGTCGCGGGTAAAACTAATCTGGTGAATCGAACGTGAAATATCAGAGTTGGTTTATTTGATGGTAGATAGTAAATAAGGAAATGGTTGGAACTTGCGGAGTTGAGTGATGATATTTGGACGATCTTTATCATCTAGGGTATAATGATACTGCTCTCGTTGGCTAGGAGAGATCACTTTAATCTCCAACCGACATGGATTTAATTTCCAACCGACAAGTTTTCAGCGACATGTCACTGATTTTCAGGAATCCAGCAACAATTTTTGATGATATTCAGAGTTC